ATTGACGCACTTCCCCAAAGACCGTGCCAACCCTCGGATTCGGGCGTCCATTCCGGCGGAATGCTCGTGAATGAGAGCTTCCAGTCTTCCGATATTGGCCGTCGCCTCCTGTATGAGCTGAGAATCTCCTAGCCTGTCATCCACACTGGTTTGTCGAGGGATTTGCCATTGTAAGCGCTCCAGCTGCCCCAGTAATAACGCAATCGTCGAGTTCTGGTCCTCGATGAGCCTCTGCGCACCCGTATCGGGCAAGCACAAAACAGCAGCACGGCCACGCGGACTACCTTGGAAACGAGGGGCAGTGATACCCAATGCAGAATACTGAATCAAATGAGCGGCATCAAATTTGGAGTGCACCGAATTACTATGTGAATTGGCAGCACAGGCATCATTAGGAAACGAACGAACTGCATGCGATGCAAATTCCTCCTTCGCCAACTCATCAAGTATGCTAATGACCACGGAAACCGACGGAACAAAATATTGATTCTGACTTGAGTTTCGAGCGCTCGCGGCGCCTGCCGCAGAATGTAAAAATAATCGAGTGAACTGTGAATGCTTAGAGTAGCCAGCTGCCCTGTTCACCTGCACAGACAGCCCGAATAGAGGACGTGGGAGCCAACCTCGCGCCGCCAAGACCGCAGCTCCAGTAGAAGGGTATTCCTGGACAGTCAGGCCAGAGATGCAGCAATGAATCGTAAGTTGGGCAGCCACGATCGCAATTCTTATAGGCAATGACAGAAAACCTGCACACAAACCTAGAAATATATGGAAAGCCCCAGATCAGCAGACATCAATGGCGACTGGTCCTCATCCTCCTCCTCCTCCTCCTCCTCCTCCTCCTCCTCCTCCTCGTCTTCCTCCTCCTCCTCCTCCTCCTCCTCCTCCTCGGGGCTCAGGACAGATGGCATCGGCGGTGCGGCGGTGCGGCGTGGCAAGTGCCGGCGAGAGAGCGCGCCCGTGGCGCCACGCCCAAAGGGGTGGGGCCCCTTTGGCCCTGCCCTGCCGGAAGCCACCCCGCCCTCCTTGCCTTCCGCCCCTCGGAAGCTACCCCCCGCCTTCCTTTTCGCGCTCTGGAAGCGACCCCCCCCCCTCCCTGTCCAGAGGGGGGGGGTAGCTTGGCTACCCCCCCCCCTCCACCTGAACCTCCCCCTGCCGGACGCCCAGCACCCCCTTCTTTCCCGCCCCTCGGAAGCCCCCCCCCCTCCCCGTCTCAAAAAAAACAAACAAAGAAAGACAATACAAAGCTACCCCACCCCCGCCGCTTTGAAACCTCCATCTGCCGAAGCCCCCTCCCTCTTCGGCTCAAGTGGGGGGCCACCATGCGAACCCTACCCCCGAACCGCCCGAACGATTTCGAGGGGAGGGTGGGGTTCGCTTCGTTCGGGAGCTCTCGAGCGAAGTGAACCCCACCCTCCCCCTCAGAAATCGTGGGGGGGTAGGGGTAGGGTTCGCATGTGGCCCCCTATCAAGGGCTAGAGGGGGGGGGGGCTTGGAAGCCCCCCCCCCTCTCTTGGCTAACGGAAGGAGCGCCGGAGACCAAAAGAGCGCCCCAACCAACAGAGCGCCGAAAGCCAAAGAGCCGCCGAAAACCGAAGGGATGCGAAAACCAGGTGTCGCCGACAACCAAAGAAACGACGAAAACCGAATGGGCACTGAAAACCAAAACGGCGCCGAAAACCAAAAGGCGCGCCGAACACCAAAAATGAGATGAGAACGAAAAAAAAACACCAAAAACGCGCCGACAACCAAAAAGGGGCCGGAAACCAAAGAAGCGCAGAAAACCAAAAGATCGCCGACAATCAAAGAGCGCCGAAGACCAGAAGGCAACGAACACCTAACGAACGTTACTGCGCCGAAAAACCAAAGGAGCGCCCAAAACCAAAGGGGCGCCGAAAACCACAAGGGCGCCGAGAGCCAAAGGAGCGCCGAAAACCGGCAGGGCGCCGAAAACCAAAGGTGCGCCGAAAACCAAGGGGGGGCGCAGAAAACCAAACGGAGGATGAAAACCAACAAAGCGCCGAACGCAAACAAATGCTCGAAAACGAAAGATGTGACAGACACCAAGAGGACACCGAAAACCACAAAGGCACCACAAACCAATGGAGCACTGAAAACCAAGTGGGCGCCGAACACCAAAATAGTGCCGAACACCCAAGGGGCGCCGAAAACCAGAAGGGCGACGAAAACCAAAAGAGCGCCGACAAGCAAAGAGCGCCGAAGACCAGAAGGCAACGAACACCTAACGAGCCGAAAACAAACAAACAAAAGCGCCGAAAACCAGTGGGGCGCCGAAAACCAAAAAGACGCCGAAAATCAAAAGAGCGTCGAAAACCAGAGCAGCGCCGAACAGCGCCGAAAACCAAAAAGCACCGAAACCCAAAAGGGCGCCAAAAACCAAAAAGGGTCGCCGAACTTGAAAAGGACGCCAGAAACCAAAGGGGCGCCGAAAACCAATAGAGAGCCGACAACCAAAAGGAAAGGTCGGCAAACACCAAAAGGGCATCGAAAACCAAAACACTATCGAAAACCAGAAAACTGCCGAAAACCAAAAGAGCACCGAAGACCAAAACTGCGCCGAAAAACCAAAGGAGCCCCCAAAACCAAAGGGGCGCCGAAAACCACAAGGGCGCCGAGAACCAAAGGAGCGCC